ACTTTGCTTTAGTGGGTAAACTTGTATACTCATTCTCTACTCTATGGAAAATATCATGGTGCGGATAAGGGGTCTCTGCATCTCGGAGCTCACACACCCCTCTAATCTACCAATGATGAAGCCCCAGAATCTTTGCATCTGACACCACACCCTTGACTAACGCACCCCTTGCGAGTGTCAAGCCTCAGCCTTAGTCAGTCAACTAAAAGTGCCTTGCGCACTCCCTAGGGATATATCCGAACTGAAAATATACTTTCGAATATGCTATCTTTTTCTAAAGAAACTAGGGTGTCTGGGTCATTTCCCGAGCATCAACAAGGCTAGTCTTATTTCATCCTAATTATTCTCGTTTCTACGTTTGAATTAAAACATCATTATTATTCTCACTTGTAGAATTATTCGGGAGTAATTATAAGCTTTTTGAGAAACCTCACTTGCCTCTACACTTCCGCTTGATTAATTCTCAAAACTAAACCTTGGTATCGATACTAGCCTGATAGTATCGATACCCTCTCTTCAGTATCGATACCTTATCCAAGATATCGATACCCTAACTGAAAATCCCCTGAAAGAAAGAGGGAGTATCGATACTATTATGGGAGTATCGATACTGGGATCTTATGTATCGACACTCCCTAGAGTACCAATACCAAAAATGGCTACTGGATTTCCGGTCTCAATACCAAACCCCTTAGTCTCGATACCAAACTCTCAGTATCGATACTCCATTAAGGGGTATCGATAATGCTCTTATAACTTTGAATTTTTAAAGCTGAAACATGAATAGTATCGATACTACGCAGTATCAATACTCACCCTTAAATATACCTTGTTTAGGCACGTAAATGCCACCCAAACCCCCAAACTTTCCTACTTTAAGGTTTTCCTATTATTTAGATTATAGGAGTCGTAAATAAGGCTTGAAAACATGCTAAAAACATCAAAATTTAACTCTACCATGGAATCTATTATCATTCTTAAATCTTAACTTTCTAGCTAAAACTCATTTCTAATGATCTACAACCGGTATGAGAAAGTTGTAAGTGCATTATCTGACTTCCTTGAATTCTAGAATCCTTCTCAACTCAGCTAGGGTTAAGTTTTTCTTTCCCCTTGCTTTAGAACTTTCACCTACCTCTCTAGCTAAATAAGGACAATATTAAGAGTTACTAACTTGTCTAGAGCTTGAAACCAAGTTCATAACACTCTATAAAACTTAATTTCACCAACCCAAACTTAAAACCCTTTTGATTCTTCCTAAACCGCCAAAAACCCATTTTTTTAAACCATGCTCAAAACTAAGGATTTATGGCTTAAATTAAAGCTTAAGGGATGAAGATTAAAACTCTTACCTTTGTTGACTCTAGTTAGGTTTGTGATTCAAGAAGCTTGCTCATTTACTTTACTATTGAAGAGAAAGAAGAATAGAAAATGAATGGGTAAGGTTCACGTGAAAATACTCCTAAAATAAGGGGTTTTTCATCCTTTTAAACAAGCTATGGGTAAACTACACTTTTGGTCCCTCACCTTTAAAATCCAACTTAGGCCTTATACTCTTATAAGTTGGTCTAAACTAGTCTAGGAGGTCAAATGGGCACGACTTATGGAGTTTGGGTTGACCCAAACTACTGACCCAAGATTCAGGGTATTACACATTTAATCGAATATAAAATCCAATTTTTTTATAAAATAATCAATTATTTTTTCTATCGTTCAGATTTGAGTAAAAAAATAGAAATTTTTTTCATTCAAGATCTATCTTTGGTTTTCACCGAGAAACCTCAAGGAATGTTTGATATATGAAGATCTATTTGAAAACCTTTTCCTTATTCATTGGTTCTCTCTTCGAAGAGATTTTTTAGAAAAAAGATCGCCAAGTGATCGAAACAATAAGAACACAAGCAAAAAGAAAATAATACCTTTAAACAAAAAAATTTCTTTCATTGTTTTTCTTTTTTGGTCTTCTTACAAGAATTTTTCCTTATTCCTTACTTTTTCTCTTTTGTCTCTTTTTTTGTGTTTTTTCTATCCCAAAGTGATGTAAAAGGCCTCTATTTATAACCGATTATTTACATCGACGGCCTAGATTAAAAGCATATATACTCAAGCCCCCTATGTAAGGAAAGTAAATCAATCCTATCAATACATTCCATAGTTAGGGGATTACATGGGATATGGAAAGAAATCAAAGGGAATATTTTAATTAGAACTAAACACATTATTTTCTTACCATTTAAATTAAATTGACCGGACAAAAATAGGACACTCCAACTCGAAAACATGCGGTTGTCACGCCCTTGGACCTCCGAAATATGAGGCCTTAGACACTCCTTAACAACACTTCGTAGGTTATGCACCTAAATAAGCATTACACCACACCTTATGAGCACACAACCCAATAATATAATTAAAACGAAAATTAAAGTTGAGTGGTATGATTGACAACATTAAAAACTTAATGGCATAATCAAGTCAAAAGACAAAATTCGATGATATTTGGAGTAGTTTTCACTTACTACACATTATGTGATTGAAACTTTTAGGGTGATGCATCAAAGTATGCTACTGACGTTACCCGTGACTTGTATGAGTAGGGATTGACCAATGGGTGATCCTTTGGTCGGGTCAAGTCGTTTCTCTGATTTTTTTTTAAATCAATTACATATATTTTAGATTTTTTATATTTTTCATCCCAAAATTTATAATTTCACTTCTTTTAAAATTTAAAAAATTTATTCTTCTAATATAAAATTATACATATGTCCTTGTGTAGGATGCATCGTACGTGTGATCAAATCAGAATGATGGTATTGAAATGAGACTATATGTCGAAATAGTCTTAATGCTACATGCTCAAATGATGGTATTGATGAAGTTGATAATGGAAAGTGAATGGTTGTTTGTAAGGGGGCATTAACATTGAATGTGAATGGAATAAATGTTTCTGAATACAAGAGGAAACAGTTTGGTATAATTGGTCTGTCATATAATATTATTTGAAGTGAAGTATTAAACATATTATGCTAAATTGATTCACCAATCCCGAGTTGATATTTTCAAAGTGAGCATTATTATTCTTTAAATATATATTAATTTCTCTTTACATTATATAAAATTATTAAATATTTATGTAATAACTATATTTTCCCTTATATTAATACTTATTTAATCAGACAAAACATAAGAAATAAATCCCAATATCTGAAATTATTTCTTTAACTTCGAACTACTGTCTTCCTTAGAAAATAAACTTTAAAAAAATTTAAAAAAAAGAAAAATAATAATATAAAAGAAAAAAATTCAGATACTACTAAATTTTGTCTATTAATTCATTTATACCACTGAACTTTAGTTTTATATTTAATTATGATACTTCATCGTTAAGTCACTAATGTGACAATGACATGACTAACAATTATTGACATGTTACACACAAAAACGATGTCATTTTGGTAAAATAGTTTTGATGCATAAAATGATTTCATTTAGGCATCAAACTTTAATAAGGGTGTATTGATTTTGTCACTGAACTATTAAACGACTTACTTTTTTGGTATTGATTTTTTCCGTCGTCGTTGGTAGTTAATCATCGCCCATCACTGGTCGTCTTTCACGGTAAAATTAGTACAAAATATTAGCACTTCACTCCTCATTCTTCTCATATGAATAATTTTCTACGGAACCCACCAAAATAAAAATAAAATTATCTACCATTTTTTATATGCTTGGAGACTTACTTAGATTTACAGGATTTGGGGTGTTGGTTCAAAAATGTGAACGTTGAAAAGCATTATTTCGAGAAGATGAACAACATAACTCAAAACTAACCTCATCGAACGGTCATTGAAAGAGATTAGAGTATTAATATGTCGAATTTTTAAATGGATTTTTTCAATTTTGAGTGAGTTTCGTGGGAAACTAATCCTAGGAGAAGAATAAGGGTGAAATAAGAATGTTTTGATATCAATCTTTCCATGAAATATGATCAATGATGGGTAGTGCTTGGCAAGCCCGTCCCAAAAGATGTGAATGTTCTGTGCTACTTTAAAATGAGGCCCCTATAATATGATATAAAAAGACAAAATTGTAAAATACCAAAATTTATCATATTACAATTGTTTCTTATAAAATAAAAAAAATTTAAACATATGAAATTAAGTTTTTTCATTGAATTTTCTTGACACGTTTATAGAAAGAATTGTTTTTGGGTTATCATAGTTTTTCAAAGCGTGGGCCCCCAAATTTAGAGATCTTGTGATGTGTTACAAGTTACACTTGCTAATGGATGGGCATTGTGCTTGACTACCGACAATGGCCAGAAAGTGCAGTGCTAAAAAAAAGGAAAATATAAAAAAATTTAGTGGTAAAATTGATACATACCTAAAGTTAATTGTCTAAAACATCGTCATTTTTTGCATCAAAACAATTGCATAAAAAGTCAAGCCAGCAACCGTTAGTCATGCCATTGTCTTGTTGCTAACTTATTAATAGAGTAACATAATTGAATGTAAAACTAAAATTCAATGTTATAATTATCAAAATTAAAAGTTTAATAATATAAATAAGTCAACAAACAAAATTTAATGGTATCTAAAGTAATTTTCCCTAATACAAATAAAGACAGTTTCTATAAAAAGGCAAAGCAAAATCTTGCACCCCCAACCTGCCCAAACAAGAAGCTAAAAGAAAATAAACAATAAAGCAGAAAGCCAGAGAAGCAGCCCAACTCATCAATCTAGCTTAAACAGAAAGTTTTCACACAATAAAGATTATGCCAATTTCATTAAAAAAATTAAACAATTATTATTCCGTATGATCTTCAACCAAAAAATAAAAAAAAAGACCAGCACAACAGTAGCAGTAATTCCTTGCAATATAACATTTAATTAATGTTGTTATTCTCTTACCTCCCTTCTCACGTCTTTTCTGTTCCATTATTTAAACAAACCCTTCATCCCTATTAGCTTACATCTTCAAGTTATAATTTCAGAAGAAAGAAAATGTCTACAGCTACTGAAGTTTTGCATGATTTGGGAATGCCCATGATGAAGATCGAACCATCCAACGAGTGTAAAACACCGAGCTCCAAAGAAAACAAGATCCCAGCCGTTGTTTCATGCCCGCCGGCACCGAAGAAACCAAAGATGACTGTTTCATGCAAGAGAAACTTGTCTGCACAATTTCAATTCTTCGACAGGGTTAACAGGGAAGAAGTTGATGCTTTCTTCAAGGCTGCTTTCGATGATCCCGTCTCTAAGAGAAGGTGCTTTCGATCGTTAACTTAATTGTTTATTAATCTTTCTGGGCTCTCGTTCATGCAGTTTGTTTGTAATGAATTGGAATTACAAACCCAAAATCTACCACTGGGATTCAAACAAGTCTGTAAATATTCAGACGGCTTAAGGCTTTGGATCCGATCTATACAGCTTCCAAATTTGCACATGTTGTAATTGTTCCATGTTTCGAAAATATAATTTCTAGAATTTATTGAATGATCTCAGATCTATCCATCATTTCATATTAATAAAGAAAATCCAATTTCCAGTGCTGAATTTCAGAAACTTTTCAATGAGATAGGTGGGTGACGTGGAAGTTTTAACATAAAAAAATATAAAAAAAAAAGAATAAGAGAATGGTTTGAACTTTGAACATACAAATGGTTGATTTTCCCCCTTAAATTTGAATTTTTCTAATCTTAATTTTTGATCTGACATGTGGGAGATTGACACGAAATCTTAGATTTGAAATTATCGGAGATGATTTTCCTCGAGAAAGTGACAAAGTGAGAAAAATGACAATGTTCAATACTGATATGGCATATGCAATTGTTTTGAATGTTTTTGGATCATATGCATTGATTATATATTTCTTATATCACCATAATAAAATAAAGGGCTAATGTCTCTTTGATGTTTAATTTTTTTTTGTTACATCTTTGATGTTTAATTTGTCTGTATGGGTTTTGTATTTAAAAATGTTCGATATGATAAGTATATTATTGGGGTTTAATAAAATTAATTATAATTTATAATGTGATATACATCGGACCACCTCTTTAATATAAGGTAAATAATTCGTATGACCATTAAATTATTATTCATTTATACTTTGACTATCGATGTTTTAATTTTATTAATCAAATTATGAAATTATTTAAATACTTCAATCAAATCACATACAATTAACATTTAACGGAAGTGTTGTGTGATAGTTAACATAACGAGGAAATAACATGTGACTAGGGGAATTGAACTTAGGACTTTGGGCAGGCACGCCTAAATTACTAGGCTGAGCACCTTGGTAAGAAGCTAGTAGTGGCTAGGGAAGGTTATTGTCTCTCCCAAAAGTTTTGATATAATAGCATTTTTAATATATTTTTTAAATTTAAATATTAATTAAATAAGATTTTTATCCTTTTAAATTTTTAGATTTAAATATTTAATAAATTTTTATTCTTTTGATATAAAATAATTTTATCTCTTAATATTTAATTCTAAACCCGTCTATGTGAGCACCTCAATTATTAATGTTTACAACATTTTTCATATGATTATAGAGAAATTCTAATTCCGTCTATGTGAGCCTCTCCATTATTAATGTTTACAACATTTTTCACATAACCTATTATTAATAGCAAAAGGAAAAAAGAAGAGAAAAGGAAGCAACATGATTATAGAGAAATTCAAACCTACGAATTTAAGGGGAGAGCAAGTACCTTGCCCACTAAACTAAAATATATATTTGATAAATTTTACAATATATATAATCATTAAATTAATTTTTATTTAAAAATAAAAACTAGAAAAAAATAGATTTTCATATTTTTACACTACATTTATTTATTTTATATAATATTTTATATATAATAATTAAATTAAACTCGTTCCAATTCTTTATTAAAGATATAGTGTACAACTCAATTATTAATTAAGTTAAAAAGATTTTATTTAAAACTTTTAAAATAATTTTATATATGAAAAAATTAAAATCCTAATGTAATTATTTTAAAAAACTTAATTATTAATTTTTTTATATATGGAATAATTTTAAAAATTTTCAATAAAATATTTTTAGCTGAATTAATAATTGATCTGTATATTTTATTTTTAATAAAAAATAAAATTCGTAATTACGTCAAAAAATTTAACTTAATTATTATATATAATGAGTTTAATTGAAACATTGTAAGTTCAAATTCCTATTAAACAAACTAAACAAGATATTGTAACATTCCATGCAAATAATGATAGATTCCAATAATCCTGTTCCAAAAATATAATTTTAGATTATGTGAGGCAAACTTCCCCATCTGTATGCAAAGAATTTTCTTACTTGGTGCACCTAAGTTCTGAGAAACACAAAACTGCCTATATTACAGCAGGAACATATGCTGCCAAAATTGCAGATTACAATTTCAAAGAGAGTTTGAACAACTCTTTACCGCACGATTTCAAATCTCTCCGGTTCCAATAGGTTGCCTTGAGGTATCACCCGAAGCCCATGCTAGATAGTCTCTAACAAGCTGCAAAAAGGAGATATCAGAACTACACTGAAATTCAAAATGTTCATTTGCTTTAAGTTAGACTTGTTGCATCTGAAGATACTCATTTTTTTCATTTAAATATTTATATTTTATTATTATTATTATTATTATTATTATTATTAAAAAAATAATTACAGGCCCAATTACAAGTAAACCCAATCCAGTTTACAACAGACCGGAGCCCAACCGACCCCCAACAGAACCCTTCTAGGGTTTCCATCATCTCAACCAGCCGCCAACGATCTCCACCGTGGATCTGGCAAGATCCAACGGTCCAAGCTCTCCAAGAAACCCTAGGGTTATGATACCCTAGGTAAGCCACGCGCGCCGCCTTTTTCCAATCACCGCTGCCGACACTCTTTCCCACCAGCTGTTGCCACACGTCTACCGAAGGCTCCAGAAGGCCGGCCGTAGCACACGTCTCCCTCAAACGGTGAGTCACCACTGGAAGTCCGGTGACTCACCGAAGAACCCCTTTTGGACCGGTCCGAAGCCATCACCGGTGATGGCTATAAAAGCCACCGAGCCCCCTGCCAACAAAAAAAAGGGAGAGGAGAACGGAGAACAAAAAAAAACCAACAGAGCAACCAAAACCGAGAGAAAAGATACAAAAAGAAAAAGAGACCAACTCACAACAACTAGCAATCAAACCGAGAAGAGAGAATGAGGAGTTTACCTTACCGAAGAACCCCAAACGGCACTGGAAAACCAAAAATACCGAAGGTATTTTCCTTAGATCTAGGAAAATCCCTACTTTTAGGATAAAAGAAGGTGAAATCGGGTTTAGGGTATTAGATCTTGGGTTTGGGAATTTTTGGTGTTTTCCGACCACCGGAAACGGTGGTCGGTGGTAGGAATCACGGCGGCAGACGGCTGCCGCCCGGTGACCGGCTTCCCTCCGGTGAGGGAAGCTAGAGAGAAGCCAGAGAAAACTCTGGCTCTCTCTCTGTTTGAGAGAGAAGAGAAAATGGGAAATGAGAGCTGGCCCTTCGGGCCAGCCGTTTCTGGCTTTAAATAGCCCTTCCCGAACGACACCGTTTTGGGGAGGGCTATTTGTATAATTTTTAAATGTTAAACCCTTTCTGCAGCGATCCTAACTTGTAACACTTACATTTAGTCACTAAATCGAATTATAATCATTTTAATTTGGTCTCTAAATTTTATTTATTTATTTTAGCCCTTAACCGTATTTAAAATTTAGGATAATAACATATTTAGTCCCCCAATTTTATTAACTAATATTTAACCCAAATCATAGTTTATTTTATTTTAATCTGATATTCGATTTATATATTTTAGTTTAGTCACTAAATTAATAATAAGGAAATGTTTAATCCTATAATTTTAAATAATTAATTAAATTAAGTATTTAATTTTATATTATAATTAGTAATTAATTTAAATATTTCATTGCTTTAAATATATAGTTCTAATCGTATTTTTATTATTGTTTTTTATGTTTTAATTTTACTTAATATTAAATATTATTTTATTATTATTATAAGTATATAAATATATAATAATAATAATTTATATTAAATCTAATTTGATTTTACATAAATTATTTTATTTAATATTTATTATTTTTCAATATCAAAGAAAAGGGCAGTCTAATACAATGGAAGTCCTATTCTGGTATTTTAAATTAAATATTATAAAAATTTTTTTATTTTTTAAATTATTATAATATTTATATCAAGAAAAGAGCTGTCTTAAGGCACCTAGAAGTCCTTTTCTGATATTTCTAAATAAAAAATATTTATTTATAATATATATATAAATAATGTATATTTTTCATAGTTATAATCTTAAAATAATAGGATTATAATTAAATATATTTTGATTTTTTAATTCAACAATAGAGACAATTTCTAATTAAAAAGTACCAATTTGGGCGTTAGGGGCTAATCCTTCCCTAAACATAACCAACCACGAATCCCTTTTATTATTAAAACGATTTTTTGGTTAAAACACATATCAGTTATCTTTCGATGTTTTCTTAAAACTCTTTTAAAGGATGATTTTAGGTATTCGACCTACCTGACCCGAAAGGCCGATGGCACTCCCAAATATTTAAATCATTTATTCACATCACTTTTCCAACCGAGTAAAAAAAATTCGTGCCCGGATGAAAACCGGTTACGACAGCTTGGCGACTGAGGACTGGTCAAACTTTAAAACCAATTATTAATTGTCTCTATCAATTAGAAAATTAAAAATTCATATATTTAATTTTTAATTCTTTCTTTCAAAATTTTTATTTCATAATATGTATATGTTATTTTAATTAATGCTTTTTTCCCCAAGTATTAAATTTTATTATTATTGTCTGTCAGAGGTTTGAACATTTCTCCTCACACACACACTTGCATTGCTAACATAAAGCTCTATAATTGAGTTTGTCCCTCTAAGTGGAGTGAAAGCGACGTCTTCGTGAGAATTATTCTCCGTGTCAGACCTAGCAGTAACTTTTGAGGTTCATATACTCTATGTCTTCGTGAGAATTTATTCTCCATGTCAGGTATAGAGAAATGTATCCCCTCGAATTGAACTCGATCCGCTTAAGTCTGTAATGGACTAGGATTGAGGGTTGACAGCCCAAGGGGACATTAACAAGGACAGTTCGAGTACCCTTACCCTAGAACTGAAACCCTGCATATAATAAACCCTAGAAACTCTTCCGATTGAAGCCATGCCAAATTTTGTCCAAAATAGGTGTACACAGGAGAAATGAATTCTAACTTCTTTTAATTTATTATTTTCTTACTGATTAAAGTACATGTGAATTTAAATTATCTAAATTATGAAAAAAGCAGTTTAATAAAGATTTAGGTAGACATTATTATTAAATTATTTCTCC